GAATAAAATTTCCTAGTCATTTTGTACTGGTGAGGAGATCTGTAAATACTAATCTTTCATATCAGGCCATAAGAAATGAGCCATTGCTAAGCAGGAAATCTGGAACATACAGTTTACTTGCTGGTATCTAAAAATAGCTGTCAACAGAGCATTTTCTCCTTTCATGCAATTGTGAAATGTTAAAACTGAAGGATTACTTGGGAGAGAAAAGAGGAGTGGCATCTCTTTCAGACACCTATGCTCAGTTTAAGCAATGATATTTTGCAAATCCAAACTTCTTCTCCAACACATTTCTTAAAAACCACCTGTGCATTTCTGGTTTTCATGACAGTTTTTATGGCCTGCAAGTTGAAATTGTAGATTGCTGATCAACTCCTGACTGTGCAGCTGTTACTGCTCTGGTGGATGTCTTCGAGGACAGCTTGATGAAAAATAAGCTGTTCCAAAATTCACTCTTCTTTTCAGAGTCTTTAAATTTTTTTAATTAATTGACTGCACAGACTATACAGTACTAAAGTAGACTTCCCAAACTGCCCTCTAGATTGTTGAACTACAATGCCCACCATCCCTAGTCATCATTCTCATATATGCTGGTAGGGATGATAGGAAGTGTGATCTAAGACATCTGGGAAATATCAGATTTGGGAAGTTTGCATAGCTGAACAGGGTAATACTGCAATACTTGACTTTAAAAAATATATGGTAAAATGCTCTTTTAATAGCAAACCAGGTTTCATTTATAGACACATCTTCCTTTTGATTATGCACGTCTCTTTTTTTTGCTAACTTGAGTAAACCCATAACCTGATTTGTCCTTCATTTTTCATTCTTGACATTCAAAAGTATGAGACTACCTTAATTAATTAGCCATGACTTTTTCCCCTGGTTGGTTAGCAATTCAACTACAGTACTCTCTCTCTCTCTGTATGTGTGTGGTTGATGCAGCAACCAGCAATGGTTGATGATATCAGAAATTCCAACTGATACGAGCTGAATCAAATATTTAATTATTTTATGTTATTTTATTTAAGATATTTTTATCCCATCTTTCTGCTTAAAAAGGACCCAAGGCAGCTGACATCATTAAAAGACAATATTTAAAGCTAAAAACAATAAGTATACAAATATTAAAATGGAACAAACAAATGCCACTCTAAGAAATAATAAACAAAAGCAGTACTAAAAACGCATTCAGAGCTGTAATGCATAACAATCAATTTAAAATCCAACTCCTAGGGATTATTTGAGCTCCAATATGTCATTTGGATGTGAGGATCATACCAAACGGCATATCACACCTCTACTTTTTTGATCCCAAATAACCCTATTTAGCCTGCACCAGCCCACTCTAAAAGACCCACTAAGACAAACACCAAGTTGGTCTTCTTCAGCTGCTAATTTGCTGGCTGTAGAGGGTACATCAGACTTCTGCTAAAAAAATGAAGTAGATCCTGCAGGTCAATGTCTCATTCAACCGTTTGCTCAGTGGAGGATCTGCAGTGCTGGATGCAACTACACTGATGGCTGTCCAGCATCTTTGAAGGGGTATTAATGCAGGGTAAGTCTTTCAATCAAATTTATTTATTTATTTATTTATTGGACTTATATACCGCCCCATAGCGCTACAAGCACTCTCCAGGCGGTTTACAAAAAAAGCCTCCATGTTCAGAGACAGAATGACTCTGAAAATAACTTCTTGGGAGCTAAGTGAATGCTTTTTGTGCTTATAGGAAGCAAGTTGAAATAGTGGCCAAAGGTCTCCCAGTGACTCTTACAGCTTAATGGAACCTAAAACAAGGATCTCCAAAGTCCCCATCTAAGTACTAGACCGCACTGGCTTATAGGGTGTCCACTTACAAATTACAAAAATAGAGGACCAAAGAAGATACAGATTTGCATAACATTCCATATGCTAATGTATATACAAATGCAAAATTATGAGTTATTTTTATAAATTAATTTATTTCACTTGAGTGAGGAGGACAGTGACCAATTAGCCTGTGTGTTGGCTGTCTATGTGCTGCTCACTGTGGTTGAGCAATTGGAAGGTCCCTAATTAAAGTTCTTTTGCTCTCTAAGCAAACTTCGACCTGGCAGGATATCTTCAAAACAAGAGTTGTCCTCTGGGAGCCCTTTCAGTGGAGAACTGTCCTCCCTAAAAGAGGATACATGGCCGTCTTAAGTGAGCCTGCACCATAATTTCTCATGGGTTTATAAAACTGCTACAGGATAAAAAGGGAGAAATGGGAGCAGAACACAAAAAGCAACTCATCTCCTTACATATTTCCATAGCTATGAACAACTTCAGCTCTTAATTGAAATTATGATTCAGCAAATTGAATTGTGAAAAATGTAGAATTTGAATTAGTGCTGCTATCATCACTGATGTTCCTATATTTCCAGCAAGCTATAGATCATGCATTCTCTACACACTCATATGTATTTCAGTATCCTCTCTGTTTTATGGCATTTACATATCTCTAGTCATTAGAGCCTCAATGATATAAAACTAGTATTGAAGATTCAGGCTGCTTAGTATGAAATATCTAATATGAAATGCAATTCTAAGCATGTTTACTCTGACTTTCTGACTTCACTGTGACTTATGACCCTAAAAATTTGCATATGACTGCAGCCGTTATAGGATTGCAGTGGAATGATTAAACATGATGAGGGCTATTAAGACTTCATAATTCTGGGAATTAATTTATTGGATGCAAAACACAAGTGTGCAAGAAAAATATTAAAAGGATAAGAAAATGTCTTTCTCAACGTATGTGCAGATTCTATGATTTAATGATTTTGAATTATCACAACTTTAGCAACAGTGGGCCCATCCACACAACATCTTCGTTGAACTTTCCCATGCACACGATAGTAGTACTGAATCTTGGTGGCTATATGATGCAAGGCTGAAACTAGCACCTGAGTAAAAGAACGACAAAAAAACTTTCCTGGTTTTGTTACACCACCACCAAGAGGTAGTGAATTTTTGTTCAGCTCCTTTTTCTATTATTGTTATATCTTCTTTCTATTTTTTTAAATGTAACTTTTTCATTGTGGCGCTAACGTGGAACCTAAAATTTAAAAGTATTAGAAAGCATTGGGCAAAAATAGGAAGCTCTGAAAATGGTGTGTGGGTAAATCAAAGGGGAGAGGGAGAACAGGCTGTAGTAGACAGAGAAAAAGCAAAGTGGATATCAGCTGTTCCTTCCTTCCTTCCACTGTTGTCACTTCTGAGATAGATGGACCAGTATTTTGACTTCCCATGTTCTACTTCCTATATCTCTAGATATGAGCACAACAGCATACGTATGCCTATTTGTGATACTAATCCCAATGCAGAAGTCCTATTTAGATGGATCAAATGTGCAATGCAATATTTTTTATATTTACTTGGAAACTTGTCCTACTAAGTTCTGTAAGCCTTAGTATGTGTGCCTAAGGCATCAAAGGTAAAAAGTCTAGATATCTTTGGTTCTTAATCAGGGATGAGGAGCCTCTGGTCCACAGGCTGAATGTGTAGTCCACAAAATTCTCCTTCTGACCCATTGGCCTCTCCTTAAGCCCTGCATCCTACAAAGCCCCATCTTCTTAGCTGAAGTACATAGGCAGATGAAAGAGGAGAAGAGGTTTCCTTGCTTTGCTGCCTTCTTTCTGCATTCCTACCTTCCTTGAAAGGGCACTGGCAGGGGAATGGAGTGACCTGGATCTTTTCCAGTTTGAAACGCTCCAGGAAACCTTGTCTTCTGGCACTAAACCTGATACAGTATCTCATGGGCAGCAGACAAATATATTAGTGTTTCATGTACTATTTCTGCTGCAGCATTTCTGCTATCTTTATATGATCTTCTGGATGTTTATTAGATTTTAAAGACATGGTTAGCAGCTTTGTCGTGCCTGGAAGTAAAGGTCATCAAGTGTAAGGATATGTAATTGGTGACTAAGCCCAGGATCATCCACACTCTTGTCTTCCAGATCACCCACCATGTATGAATGGGAAAGCTAGATAGTTAAGAAAGCTTACAGGAAAAAAATTCATTTGAAATATGGTGCTGGAAGAGATCTTTGTGGATACCCTCAACTTTGGGCCTCCAGATGGTCTTGGACTTTAGCTCCCAGAAATCCTGGCCAGCAGAGATGGTGGTGAAGGCTTCTGGGAGTTGTAGTCCAAGAACATCTGGAGGCCCAAGGTTGGGGACTACATACTGCCCTAGACTGTCAGAAAGATGAACAGGAGCAAATCAAGCCTGAAGTATCTTTGGAGACAAAAATGTTGAAACGGAGGCTGTCCTGATTTGGGCTCATTAGAAGGCAAAATTCTCTGGAAAAGACAATAATGCTGGGAAAGGTGGAAGGCAGAAGAGGAAAACCAAATATGAGATGGACTGACTCCCTAAAGGAAACCACAGGCTTGTTTGCAAGCGCTCACCAGGGCAGTTGAGGGCAGGACATTTTTTTAAGATCATTGATTCTAACCTACACTTGGGCAAACCTAAGTCGGAGGCGACTTGAGGTGACGGCACGTAACAACAACGCCTTTTGCTAATGCTGCCTCATGATGAAGGATGTCCCCAAAGGCAAGAGAGGCAGGTAAGAGGAGGTATTATTTAGGGGTGAGTCAGTAACGGGGGGGAGGCATTTCATTTGATTATACGACTGACGCACTCCAGAGCTCCGTCACACAACAGCCGGCTCTCCCTGTCTACGGTCTCTGGACTATGAGGCGAAACACACCAACACAAAATCCCTAGAACCCAGAGTCTTATATTATGGATCTCCCCTTATTCACCGCCCCCCTCCCCCGCCTTTCCTATTTCCCCTCAGCCGCCTTCTCCTCCGCCCCGCGAAGGCCGAGATGACCACCGCGAAGCAGGGCAGCGCTTCCGCTTTAAATTAAACACACGCAAAGCTTCGGTTTGACGTCACGTGCCCGGTGGCGGCTCGAGCGCCGCCGGAACCCGTCCGGCCTGAAGAGCGCCAACCGGAGAAGCCGGAGCTGGAAAAAAGGGCGGGGCGGAGTTGGTGGCGGATGTCGCGCGCCGAGTTTGTGCGCGTTCCCGCCATTTCTCCTCCTCCTCCCCCCTCCCGCCGCCTTGAAGCTGCCGCCGCCTGTAGAACTGGTTGCCGGTCGTGGTGCGGAAAGGGGGGGGGCAGATCCCTTCTCCTTCCGCCGGGGCTGGTCGAGGCGGGGCACCCCTTCTCCGTTCCCTCCCCTCCCTTCCTGTCCTTCTCCCCTCCGAGCGCCGGCGGCTCCTTCCCTTTCTCCTCGCCTGCCATGGAGCTTTTCCAGGCGAAGGACCACTACATCCTGCAACAAGGGGAGTGGGCGCTCTGGTGTAGCCGCGCCGACGGCAGCTTCCAGCTCCGTCCCGGTGAGTCGGGTGAGCGGCTGCTGGGCGCGGGGAATAGAGGGTCCCGGCGGAATTACAGCCCGAATCGGGGGGGGGGGGGGGGGGAGGAGCGGGGGGGGGGGGGGAAGGGAGCGGCGTCTCTTTCGGGGCCAGCATTCAGAGGGGGGCTCGCCCGGTCCGCGGCGGGAGGGGGGCGGTTGGCCGGGCAGGTGGACTGGCTGTGCGAGGAAGCTTCGGCTCGGAGAGTTCCTGAAGGGCAGCGAGGAAGGAGGCGCTTCTGCTTCGGGGCGCGCAGGTCTCCCTCGGGCTGCTCGGCTTGGAGGACAAGGCTTGGAGCATTTCCCGGCAAAAAGCAAGAAGCGGGGAGTAGGATGGGCCCGAATGGGGAAGGTGCAAAGGGCCAGGTGGGTGAAGGTGAGGGCATTGTCTCCGGGAATGGCTCGGAAGTGGGTGGGTGGGATTGTCCAACTGTAGGTTCGTTTGAGAAGAGGAATTGCAGAAGGGGTCTGGTTCTTCAGAGCAGGACAGCGGGAGTACAAACCTCCCCGATGGTTTGTACTACAGTTCCACTCATCCTTCAACAACACCCATCAGTCGTGCCCTCTAGAGGCAATGAAAAGGGCCATCTAACACTTCTGGAGAGAACCAGGTTGGGAGAGGTTATCTTAGTGGGTCCACCTGCTAGGTGAACATTATGTGTTTTGATTTATGAGATTAAAGGATTTAGGATGCAAACCCCCCTTCATGAATTGCCGCCTTGTCATGGCGAAGGGGCTTGAGTAATTCAGGGACTCTCTGGGCTATGCCATGCAGGGATACCCAAGGACGGACAGGTCATAGTGGAGAGTTGAACCTGGAATGTAAGATCAATGAACCTTGGTAAGCTGGATGTGGTCAAACAGGAGATGGCAAGAATAAACATTGACATCCTGGGCGTCAGTGAACTAAAATGGACACAAATTAAATTCAGATGATTATCATATCTACTATTGTGGGTAAGAATCCTGTAGAAGAAATGGAGTAGCTCTCATAGTCAACAAAAGAGTGGGAAAATCTCAAAAATGATAGAATGATTTCAATATGAATCCAAGGCAGACCTTTCAACATCACAATAATCCAAGTG